GTATTACCGGATCGCCGCCTTTGGCTACTACGCCTACCGGATGCGCCCCGAGGACGTGATCTACGACTGCCTGCCCCTCTACCACTCAGCAGGTGGGGCTGCTCCTGCCTCCTCCTCCTTCCTTCCTTCCTTCCTTCCCTTCTTCCTTCCTTCCTTTCTTCCTTTCCTTCTTCTCCTTCCTTCCTCCTTCCTTCCTCCTCCTCCTCCTTCCTGCCTTCTCCTACTTCCTTCCCTCCTTCTCTCCTTCTCCTCCTCCTTTCTCCTCCTTCATTCCTTCCTCCTCCTCCTCCCATCTCCTGTCCTCCCATCTCCCTTCCCTCCCTTCTCCCTCCCTCCCTTCCCCTTCCCCCCAGCAGAGCTGAGCCGTCGTCCCCTCCCACCCCTGCTCCCTCCCTCTCCCCAGGATGACCGGATCCCTCCCTCCTTGTTTTCCAGGGAACATCATGGGGGTGGGGCAGTGCCTGATCCATGGGCTCACCGTGGTCATCAGGAAGAAGTTCTCGGCCAGTCGGTTCTGGGACGACTGTGTCAAGTATCGCTGCACGGTGAGGGAGCCATGGAATGCCTGTGGGGGGAAAAGCCCTGGAGACCCTCGGCTCCGACCCTTCCCCCTGTGCTGCCGAGGCCACCCCCGGGCCCTGTCCCCCAGAGCCACATCCACACCTCCTCCCATTTCCACCCTCCCTGACCGTGGCCAATTCATTCCCACCCAACATTCCCCCCACTCCTCCCTGGGGTCGATTTCCCCCTTTTCCCGCTGTTTTTAAGGATCACCAGAGGCCTGAGCCGTGTTTTTTTTGCTCCAGATCATTCAGTATATCGGGGAAATCTGCAGGTACCTCCTGAACCAGCCGGTCCGTGACTCCGAGAGCCGGCACCGCGTCCGGCTCGCGGTCGGCAACGGACTCCGGCCCCACATCTGGGAGGAGTTCACCCGGCGCTTCCGGGTGAAGCAGATCGGGGAATTCTATGGAGCCACGGAATGCAACTGCAGCATCGCCAACCTGGATGGGAAGGTGAGGGCAACACGGGAAGGGGAGCGGCTCCGAGGGCTCCGATGGCACCTCAGAGTCTTCCTCATCCTCCCCCAACGGATCGCCGGGAGCTACGTTGGCAATTAGCACAAAAAATCGGGAAAAATCCTAATTTTGGGTGAATTTTGGGGTGAATTTCCGAAATAAAACAAGAGGGAACCCCCTGGAAGTGCTGACACAGAATCCCTTCAGCTTTTTGGGTTTTTTTCCCTGTCTTTTGGAAGGTGGGAGCCTGCGGGTTCAACAGCCGGATTTTGCCCAATGTTTATCCCATCCGGTTGGTGAAGGTCAACGAGGACACCATGGAGCTGATCCGGGATTCCCGGGGGCTCTGTGTCCCCTGTCGCCCAGGTGAGTGCCTTGTGTTGATCCCATAAATGTCAATGATCTCATAAATGTCAGCATCTCGAGTTGATCCTAAAAATCTTGGTGTCATCTTGTGTAGATCCCACAAGTCAGTCCCACCTTGTGTCATCCCATAACTATCAATGTCCCCCTGAATTGATCCCATAACTGTTGGTGTCCTGAATTGATCCCATAACTATCAGTGTCCTCCTGAATTGATCCCATAATTGTCAGTGTCCTGAACTGATCTCATACCTCTTGGTGTCTTGTGTTGACCGTAAGTCCCGTCACCACCTCGTGTCAATCCCGTAAGCGTCAATCCCGTAAATGCCTGTTCCTGGCGTGGATCCCGAGGGTTTGGGGTCACTCCGGGGTTGTTCCCGTTGCTGCAGGAGAGCCGGGGCTGCTGGTGGGGCAGATCAACCAGCGGGACCCTCTGCGGCGCTTCGACGGCTACGTCAGCGAGAGCGCCACGAGCAAGAAGATCGCCCACGACGTCCTGCGCAAGGGGGACCAGGCCTATCTCTCAGGTACCTCCTACCGCCATTCCCGGCTTCAGAGGCCCAAATCCAGGATTCTCCCCCTTGAGAAACGGGGTGGGGACGCCCCCAAGGTGCTCCTTTTGGGATGGGATAAACCAACGGGGAACGAGGCGTCCTGGAACGTTGGCCAGGGATCCCGAGGTGGGTTTTTTGGTGCCTCCTGCTCTTCCCAGGGGATGTGCTGGTCATGGACGACCTGGGATACATGTACTTCCGAGACCGGAGCGGGGACACGTTCCGGTGGCGCGGGGAGAACGTCTCCACCACGGAGGTGGAGGGAGCCCTGAGCCGCATCCTCAACCAGACGGACGTGGTGGTGTACGGAGTGGGAATTCCAGGTGGGATGCCGAGATGGGCCCCCCTGGGACTGGGGAGCGATGGGAATTGTGGGCCAAGAGAGCAGATTGGTGTTGGAAATGTGGGAATTCCCATTCCCGCTGTTCCCGTTGCAGGTGTGGAGGGCAAGGCGGGCATGGCGGCCATCGTGGACCCCTCGTCCCGGCTGGACCCGGGGGGTTTGTACGAGCAGCTGACGCCGGTGCTGCCGCCCTACGCCCGGCCCGTCTTCCTGCGCCTGCTGCCACACCTGGACACCACAGGTATGGGCGGGGCCAGGGCGGGGCCTAGAGAGATGGGGCGGGGCCTGGACAGATGGGGGTGTGGCCTAGAGAGAGGGGGTGTGGCCTGGAGAGATGAGGGTGTGACCTGGAGGGATGAGGGTGTGGCCTGGACAGAGGGGGTGTGGCCTGGAGAGTTTTTATTTTTTATGTGTTTTCTTGTTTCTTATTTTTAAATCTTAATTTTTTAGTTTTATTTTTTTTTATTTCTGTGTTTCTATTTCGAGTTCTTATTTTTCCGGTTGGTTTTTTTTTCCCCATTTTTTTTATCTTATTTTTTGTTTTTCTTTTCCCTTTCTCCCTTTGATTCCCTTCAATCCCGTTCCCAGGGACATTCAAGCTGCAGAAGACCCGTCTCCGGGCGGAGGGTTGGGACCCCCGGCTGGTCCCCGACCGGCTCTTTGTGCTGGACCCTCAACGGGGCCGATACGTCCCCCTGGATCGGGGGATGCACCAGCGGATCTGCTCCGGGAATGCTGGGCTGTGAGCCCCCGGATCCCGGGAAATCCAACGGATCTGTGCCAGGAATGCTGGGTTGTCACTCCCTGGATCCCG